TGCTTAGCATCTAGGAACTAATCATCTAGTTGATTTTGCCTGATAACTTGCAGCAGCACTGTTCTGAAGAGTATATTGATGCATTGATAAATCTATATAGTGTTAGTCTGAAAAAGGTCCTGTAAGCTACCATTTCTAGGTAATGGTTTTATAAAACTGCACATTAATTCCTATTAACAGTTCAGGATGAAACTGTATTTTTTTGGTTGTCTCTTCTGAAATAAGACCAAATTCACAGCTAAAGCTAAACTGATGAAACTTTTCACCTTCAAAAGCTGTCACGCCAATGTCAGTGTTAGACTCATGTCCATATACCGCTAACATTTATTAAAGGACAGCACAAGGAAATGCTAAATAAAGCAAAAAATACCAGGCTTGATTACAGAACAGCTTCAGCTTCTCCTTTTACATCACACCTGTGTAAAAGTCACAGTTCTCTGCCTATCACATAGACAAGACCCTGTGTAGTTCCTGCAGCTGGAGAACACCAAAATCTCTGACTAGCACAATACTTGTTTCCTCCTATGTCTCCCTGAGTCTGTCCCTTATTCTCACATGAGTTACTGTGCTTTCCTTCAGCCTGCCCTTTTCTCATTTATTCCTACTCCTTACATTTGGCCCCTATGCCAGGCTCTCAAAACATAGTCCCGCTCAATGTATGTGAAGGGTTCAGAAAATTTGCTTGTTAGTCTACAAATAAATTCTCCAAAATGTATGAAAAAAAAAAAATAAAAAATTCAGGAATCTTTTCTCCAGCTAAATTTAGGAAAACTGTACAAAGACTACAAAGGCATTTCTCTGACTGTTTCATTGCATTTACATGCATGTCATTAAATTTCACCTTTGCGAGCCAGCCTGGATTTTCTCAGCGAAAAAATGGCAGGAATTATTCAGGTTTGTGCCCTGACTTTTTCTTTTTTTTTTAGGACAAAGCCATGTCATTTCTTCAGAAAAGTTGAAGAATGAATCATTCTGAGACAACACCTGTCAGAGAATCACTCCAAAGTTTTGAAGTTCAGCACATTCACATACAACCAAAAGCACGGGTCTTATGATGGAAAGTCTTGGGCAACTCTAGCAATATCCACTGGTTGAGATATATTCTTACCAATAAATCTCATATTATTGTTAAAAAAGTAAAATATCACAGGATTGAAAATTGCTCCCTTGCTCTTCCCTATCTCAGACATGTTTCTGCTACAGGTTTAGGTGGCTTGGATACAAAACATCAGTGAAAAGGTACGATGCACAGGAAATGTATGCTTCATGTCTGTACTCTCAAAATTAAGCTACTCATTACAGAAGTCTCTTGATGGTGCTAGGATTTATGAAGCACACTGGCTCCTTACTCTTCTTGGAGACCTGCCATGGGTAACTGTACTTTTACATGGTCTGTAAAAGAGGCAGTCAAGCCACAATGGGTTATTAATAGCTGATGATGCAAACAGGGTCCCTCATTTTCTTTGTGACTGTCATAGGGAACAGAAGTGTTTTGGACAGGTACCACATTTGGTAGCATGGCCAAATAGCTGTTATTTGCTGAGGATTTTGACAACTACCACCTTGCAAACTCAAAGGGAGCCACTGCTGAAATCACCCTCTGGCTGTAGTCAGATACAGCCTGTGGGATACAGGATGCCTCTATCACACAGGCATCCTGGCTAAAAACATTCAGAATAAAAAAGAACACTAATAGTAGTCCTTTGGATATGTCTATGCGTTATTTTTACATCCCACTTCCTCCTCTTCATTGTTCCTGTAATAACTGTTGCAATCTCATTAGATATTAGGGAAAAAATCTTCACTATGAGGGTGGTGAGGCACTGGCACAGGCTTCCCAGAGAAGCTGTGGCTGCCTCATCCCTGGCAGTGTTCAAGGCCAGGTTGGACAGGGCTTGGAGAACCTGATCTAGTGGAAGGTGTCCCTGCTCGTGGCGGGTGGGGTGGTGGAACTAGGTAAGCTTTAACGTCCCTTTCAACTCAAAACTTTCTATGATTCTGTGACCGTGAAACTAGTAATTAAAAAAATGATAACAATATATAGTCACAGTCTAATACAATGCTATCTATGTAAACAAGGTAACATTATCTTTGAAAAGTGAAGTGTTTTACTATGGGTTACGAAGTAAACATAAAAGATTGTTTGGTTTTACGAAGAAGTGTAACCTACTTTGGAGTTAATAACCACTAGTAATCAGGATTTGATATTTCAAGCAATGCTTGCCTTCCATCTTTTGACATTTCTCAAAACCTTAACATTTTTAGTTATCTTTAAAATTACTGATTTTACAAATTGCCTACAAAACATCCTCACTGAAACAAAAGAAAAAATATGATTTTGCAAAGTTTTAGAGAAAACTGGAGGTAAACAGGGGAAAAGTTTAATCTTAACAGTGGATTTCTAAATTTTGCCTGGAAAGATGATTGATGCACTTTCCCCTCCCACACTGCTCTAACTGTAATCTCACCTGGAGGGAAGAGAAGGAGCAAATCTGACACTCAGCCCACTCAGCTCTGCTTTCCAGACTGCAGCTGGTAAATAAAAAAGCAACAGAGGCACTGCTTCTTCTCACCCCTGGATATTTGGGATGCTCTCTATGGGAGGATAAAGAGTGATTACCTGCTCTTGGAATTCATCCTCAAAATGTTATTAATTTAGAGAATTCCTATGTTTTATCTGATTCATTGCAAGCATGCATAGAAAAGTGCTCATTATCAAAACTTACTGAAAAGTCCCCTTATCCCATCAGCTGGCTTTTACCACTGTTTCGTTGCTCTCCCTGCAGTTCCTGTCTCCTAGACCTGGCTTTTTGTGGCCAGAAACTGATAAGCTCCTCTTCACAGCACAGAAGTTCAAACCCATCTTGACTGCTTAAATGGCATCTGCTTTGCCACATGTGCCTCCACAGCACACACGCAGCAACTATAACCTGTTTCCAAAGGGTTAGACACAAGGTTTCTTCCCATAGAAAAGGTTTCTGTCCTCATCACTGACCTTATACCAGCCAATATGACCAGACTAGCAAAAACATTATTTAATCTGCTTAAGTGTTACCCATCTTGTTTTGCTTTGAACAGACCAGGGAACACACACATCTTAGCTGGAAGGTATGAGCAGGTGCTAGCTGGTCCATCAAACTGAGACTGTCTGACAGCTTCCTCAGACAAGCCATGGTGTCGGTAGAATAAGATACACTTACTCATCACTACATTTCATATCATTCCCATCAAAGCTAAGAAGCCAGCATCAATGGTCAGACCCCTAACTACACATAAAAGCTCAAAACATCCTTCTCAGGGTGACTGTGGGGGTTGTACCTTAGAAAAAAGTCACAGTAATGTTTTCTCCTGCGAAAGGTGCTTAATATACGGAAGACAAAGATGAAGAGTCAGATGAGGCAAAAATGGCTTACTGTCTCTGTGGGAACCTGTCACCAGTCACAGAACCCAAGGCTGTGGAGAAATCCTGGGCAGAGGAGCAGAAGGTGTCACATTCTTGAGTGAAGTCTAGAAACAATATGAGGAAGAACAGATTGACAGGTTCATAATGCTACAAGGATATGTCACTTCCTTCCCCTTGACCACTGACAAAGTTATGAAGTTAGAAATATAATCCATTAAGTATTACTCTTGTCCTCTATACTTCAAATATTTTTCAGATGCAAGGCAGAGCTAAACAGTATCACTCTCTATATAGGTTTAGTCTATATATAGATACTGCCATGGCCAGTGGTCCTAACGTCCTATAGGCATGAGGGGCATTATTTTTGAGGTGATGGGATATTGCTTTTCCAAATCCACCACGTGGGCTGAAAGTGATTGCATGCAAAATATCCTAGTGCTGTGCATTGCACATTTAAGGTGCTCCCCCAGAAGTATGTGTTGGCATGCCAAAGGTGTGGTTGCAATCTATTGCACAGGCTTACTCAAATTATCTTAATATAGTTAAGAAGCACAATTAAGCTCCAGGCTATCATGTTTGAAGATCTCCTCAAGGTGTCTTCAAAGGTGTTAGTCTGCAGCATGCATGTGTTAAATTACAACCATCGCAACATGCATTTTATTTGCCCAGCACAGGACACAGAAGCATAGCATGTGGTTTCCATGTTTAAACTGGAAGCACCTGAACAGAAAAAGTGGGAGAAATAGGCAGTGTTGTCACTAGCACCACCCACTAATGCTGCTTCTCTAGTGAAAACAAAACGAAAGCAGGAAAAAAGAGTGGTAAATTGGGAATAGGACTTCTTCTGTCTGTGGCAAGGCACTGCAAAGTTCCCACCAGTTGTCCCATCTGTGTAGAAAATTATTTTTAAACTGCTATTTTTGCTACCGTATTTTATAAAAAACTTGTTTTCTTTTAAAATGTGAAGTTAAAATCTTTAAAATTCATTATTAACCTCTGATATTAACTCTGCTTTCAGTCAGAAAATGTCATCCCTGGGAAGTCTGATCCGTTTTTTCACTGAAGACAGGCAGCTGCCTCTGAAATTAGGTGGCACAGACTTGGCTGACCACATCAAATTATAAACTACATCTGCATCCAAGTGTGCATGTGCTTCTAGTTCATTTCTCATGCAAATCATAGTTTCATATCTGTAGATGTTGATGACGCAGATAATAGAGATTATGGTAACGTTCATAAAATAGTCAACGAGTGGGAATTAATGATTCTAAGAGAAGAAACAACCTCAAGTACAAGGGGGAAGAGGGCAAAAGAACGCTATTCTCTCTCTCTGGTATTACTGACACTTTGCCTGGTGTACCCTTTAGCTGACAAGATTCACAAGTCTCCTGAACTAGTGTACAGCCCTGGAGAGGCTGCAACTACACCTGACCTGGGTACTTTACCGAAACCAAGAGAACAACAGTTGCTGACACAGGCTTAGAATCTAGGTATTGAGAAGCGAAAACAAATGACCTGAGAAAGAATGAAAGATGATGTAAGAAAATAAAAAATTTAGGTGAAAAAAAAACCAAGAAATCTCAAGTGAGCTCTAAACCACTTTGATCAAGCATGGCTGGCATTTATTTTGAGTCTACACCAACATTTAGATGTTTTTGCACCATGGCAGATTTGAGCCTTCAGTTCTTTCCTGTAACACTTGATGTTATGTAAGATGTCATTTTAGAAAATATGAGACCACGTTGGAAACCAATTTCCTGAAGAGCTAGAAATAGGATTGTATCATTACCTTGGGTTAGACTTGCAGTTCTGGCAGTCTTCTTTTTTAATAAATATGGATACCTCCATAGGACTCCAAAGGATGACAAATGCTGTCCTTTATCTTATGCCTAGGTTTCAAAATTGTGCAAAAGATTCTTCGTGCAGAAGAGGTCAGAAGTCCTTGATCTAACAACATCAGAAAGCCAAGGACAACTTTACAGTGCTGTGTTGTCTGAGAGCTGAGCAAACACAAATTGACAGTTCTTACCAGGACACCAAAGAGTTGTGTCAGGGAGAACAAGTCTGATGAGGAGCGGCTGAGGGAGCTGGGGGTATTTAGTGTGGAGAAGAGAAGGCTCAGGGGGAACCTCATCGCTCTCTACAACTTCCTGAAAGGAGGTTGTGTTGAGGTGGGGGTCAGTCTCTTCTCCCAAGTAACAAGCGATGGGACAAGAGTAAACAGCCTCAAGCTGTGCCAAAGGAGGTTTAGACTGGGTATTAGAAAAAATGTCTTCACCAAAAGGGTGCTCAGGCATTGGAACAGGCTGCCCCAGAAAGTGGTGAAATTACCATCCCTGCGAGTGTGCAAAAACTGTGTAATGAGGCCCCCAGTGACATGGTTTAGTGGTGGCCTTGGCAGTCCTGGGGTAGTGATTGGACTTGATGATCTTAAAGGTCATTTTCAATCTAGTTGATTCTATGATCTGTTGTTTACTAGCCCAGATCCCACATTGGGCTTGTTGGGTCACGCACAGTGCCACACCGAGTTAACCCACTTCTGGGCTGGTGCTGCTTTGCACCTCAGCAGCTTGGACCACAGCCAAGGAGACTTCTGTTCTGTTTCCACAGTCTTATGTAGACAAGCCTGTAGATGAATCAGAGATAAGGAACACATGCAGCTTAATTAGACCAGTAAGCATTCCTGTCTTGATACTTTTCAAATGCAGGGTACAAAGTAATGTGAAGTGGGTTTAGTCCATTTTAAACCAGAAACAAACAAAAAACACCCCCGAAAGGAAAACTTAAAAAGAAATCCCGCCAACCCCCCACTTTTGTTCCTCTGAAGTTACTTTTGCCGCCTTCTTGCCAGATCAGTATATGCTTTAGCACCAAGGATACACAGAGCTCCTGTTCCCCGAAAGCGGCCCGTGCCGCTTTCAACCGGTCGCTGAAAGGCAGAAACCCTTTTCTTCCCTTCTGTAGGCGGCTGCTAGGAGAAAGGCTGATGGAGTTCAGCTTAGGAAGCCCACCACTCCTCCCAGAGGCTGCAAGTACGCGAACAGAGGGGGTGTTTGACCGCCTCTCGCAGAGTGCACGGCTCCCTGGCCCTTACACCGCACCGGAGTCCCGACTTCGCGGCGGGACGTGGTGCCGGGTACGAGCCCTGACTCCTACACCTGGGGGCCACCCGAACCCGTCAGCCACCGCGCAGCCTGGATGCCCCACTCGGGCAGAGACCCTCCCGGCGGGCAAACTCCCGGTGGGAGCCATGGTGGGAGGGAGCAGCCCCAGTTTCCGGCCCGCTCCTTCCCCGGGGTGATAGAAAGCAAGATGGGCGAGGGGTGCCCGCTAGAGAAAGCGGGGTAAACCGGCGCTGCCGCTTTAAATCGCGTCCCGAGGGGCGTGGAAGGGGCCGCGATAGGCGGGGGGGGGGGGGGGGGGGGGGGGGAGCTGAACGCGCGCGCGCGGCGTCGCCGGGCGCCCCGGCAAAGGCAGCGGTGCCCCGGAGGGCGGGGGAGGGGCGCGGCGGGGGGCGGCGCCGGGTGGGCCGGGCCGGGCCGGGCCGGAGCGGAGCCTTAGGGCTGTCGGCGGGAGCGGAGTGAGGTTGTTCGGGAGGGAGCACGGAGGGTGGTGGCGGTGATCGCGGCGGCGGCGGGGGTCCCGGCGTGGCTCCGCCGCTATGGCCACGTCCCCGTGCAGCAGCAGCGGCGTCTCCTCGTCGTCCTCGTCGGGGCTAGGCGCGGACGCGGGGCTGGAGATCCGCACGCGCTCCGTGGAGCAGACGCTGGTGCCGTTGGTGTCGCAGGTAGGAACGCCGCCGCGCGAGCCCCATCCCCCTTCCCCACTCCCACCCTCCGATTCCCGCTCCCCATCGCAGGGGGCTGCCTCTCCACTTTCCCGCCCGGGACGGAGCTCAGCCGCCGCCGAGCCGAAGTTTGCGCTCTCGGGTCGCGGCGCTTCGTACCCCGCATCTTGTGGGGCAGCAGCGGCATCTCTCAGCCGCGCCCCTTCCCTCTCCCTCTCCCTCGCGTCCCGGGCCCTCAGTGACCGTGCCGGCGCCGGCGGAGATGCTGCCCGCACTTTCCTCCTCGGGAAAGGCTCCGGCGTTCCCCGCAAGGTCGCGGTGCCGTTGCGTAATGGCCCCGCCGGGAAGGCGCTGCGGTGCCGTCGGCGCGCTGAGCCCCGCGGTGCCCCCCGCGGGAGGGAGGCGAGGGGTCGGGGGCCGCGCCGCGCCAGTTCCCGTTGCCCGGGCCGCACCGGTCTCTTGCGCGGTGGTTTTCCGTTCGGGAGCGTTCGCCTTTCCCCGCAGCTTGGCGCTAGGGGTGCGGGGGGTGGCGGAGCTTTGTGTTTTCGCGGTCTGGTCAGAGCGGTGCAGTGATTGGAGGTCCTGCCGCACCCGAGGGGAGCACCTGGGTTTGAGAAGTCGAATAACGTGCTAAGTGTGTCTCGGTGACCCCTCAGCATGTATCACAAAGTGCGAAATGAGTTTAAAAAAGAGAAAACAGGCTTTCAGGTTTGCTAAGTAGTTATGTGCCAACTACTTCGGTGTTGGTGGTTTTTTTTCTTTTGTTTTAACTTTTCTTCTTTCCCCCCTCCCCCCTTTTCTTTAGATTTTTAGTTTCAAAGTTGGCATTTTATATACCCAGTGTAATGTTCCTTTCTTGCCAAATAATGCATGTAAACAGCACAGTGTTTGCTGTATAGCGGCTTTTGTACTTTGAACACAGATTATTAAACTTAGCAAGTCAAAACCTATCTGTTCAAAATCTTTTTATAAAAAATGTGTAACAGCTCTACAAAAATAACTAGTCCTGGTGAGGTCAAGTTATGTTTATACCATCGTAGCCCATCTGGAAACAAACCGTTGTAAGGCTTGTTTTGCATTTGTACAGCTGGGCTGCAGGAAGGGTTTGTGATGGATAATTTTGTTTCTGTACTTAGGGTAATTTGTCTTTCTCTGTTTGGAGAAGTCAGTTCGAAGAAGCCTATAGAAGGGATTAAACCACATGTTCCAAGGCAAAGTAAAATTGAAGTTCAATGAATTTTCTGTTTCTGAAACAATGGAGAGGGTTAAAATTCAGAGACCACTTTTCAGAAGCATGAGAACAAACAGAAGCTCCAATTGCACAGGCTGAATTTAATTGCACGTGTTGAATCCTTACGCGTAACAGATTTCTGTGGACGTGTGCATGTTCTTATCCCCCTGGAATACTCTTTAAGAACAGCAGTCTTGTTTCTCTGTGGATTCATTGCGTGTGTAATATGTCATACGTGTTATTTCATTGACTGCAGATCTACAACTGCATCTTCCAGAAGTGGGAAGCATCTTTCATCCCCCCCCACATCACAGAGTGTGAGGTGCCTGAGCGTTCGTGGACTCTCAGAGCTTTCTGTGAGCCTGGTAAAGCGCTCCAGCCTGCACATGAGCGTGTTCCCTTGAAGCGTGAGCACTGAGCTCCGTTCTCATTCAGGCTGAAGTTGCTGATGTATTAGCAGTAGCTTCCTACGCTTGCCTCATGAAATGCCTCACTTGCTGTGCTGGTTTATCAGTTCTGTCTGTACTGTTCCATCTAGATTGTTCAGTAGAGGTCTCACTGGCTGGCTGTGTTTAGGTATTTAGGCAAGAAAGAGTGTTTATGGAGTACTTAATCTTAGAATTTGTTTTTATATTCTGCATGAGCTATGTATCAGCAGTAAGGGTCAGGAATTTGTTTTTCTGCTTGTATGAAATACACTTGAAAAGGGTTTTGTTCTTGCTGTGAAAATAACTTCACAGTTTACCCTTTTGTTAGAAGCTGAGAAGTGCTATGTGATACTTGTATACTACTGGGAAAAAAATAGAATGTTGCTACTGCTTTTCACTACTTATCTTAAGGAAACAAAAGGTGCCCTGTCTAACAAAATTGCTTTCAATTTCTCTTGCAAAGCTAAATCTAGTTTTTCTAAGCAAAGGGAAAAAAAGAGGCTGCATTGGTTCTGATTTAAATTAATGTACCGTATAAGTACATCACCCTAATTGATGTGTAATACTGTAAATGTATGTTTGACCTCGTGCTCTTACTGGGCAGATATGAGGGTTATTTTGGTTTGTTTTGTTTAATTGCACTTTGCAGCTTGGTGTTTTTGATAGACTGTGTAGTATCAGAGTGCATTTGCTGCCTCAGTGGGCAAGATTCCTGTTCTCCCAGCAGGAGTAATTACTCTTGGAGTCATTACTGGATATGTTTATTTATAAATTTGTTTTTAAAACTTACTATTTACAGAGTTAAGCTAGGTCTTTGTTTTCTCTAGATCTGTTCAGACCCTGATGTGGCCCTCTTCTAGTAGTGTCACAGATGACAAAAGAAGACGGCAGATACAAGCCACGGTGTTAAGCTTATTTGCTAACACTTTTTTTCCCAAGATCTACATACTTGTGCTGTGAAGTGACTCATTCTACACTGTTGTGCAAAGCATGTGACACACAGTTGAGAAAACACAGCTTTTGGGGCCAAACCCCACAGTTTTCTTCAGAATTAGTAGAATTCTCTTTGCCTGGATAGGTGTCTTGAGTTCACTGCCCTACATGCAAATAGTAGAGTGTTCTTTCAAATCTAGACATCTCCTTCAGTGCTGCTACCTATTTCCAGTCTGTTTATGTTGGGTTTTATTTTTTATGGAAAGTTTTTGGCAACAAAAGTCAGGAAGGGTGTTTAAAGTGGTCAGTGCTGACTCATTTAATAACAAGTCATTTAAACAGTTAAGGAAAGGCAAAGACATGGAAAAAGCACTTTTCCAGGATGTGGCTCCACCAGGGACTTCCTCAGCTGCCATTATATACCTGTTTGATAGTCAAGCTGCAGTTTGGTATCTTCACAGCTGTAGGAGTCTGTCTGGATCTGTTCTGAGGAAACATGCTGAGAAACTGCAGAATAGGTTTTTGTCAACCTTCATGGTCAGGTACTTGGGAAAAGTTCACTGAGAAGGAGCTTTGTCTGTAAATGTTCAGAAAGGAATAAAGTCAGTTTTTGTGGTTGAAGGTGACCTGTTCTCCAACATCCTGAGTGTAGACCTGTAAGATTACAGCTAGCTGCTCAACCTGTAAAAAGCCCGTTTTGTCATGGGCACTTCGGAGAATGATCATGTGCCCATGTATTACAGAATTGTTTTCCATCTTCTGTTTCAGGAGATCCTGTCAGAGGTTTTGGTATCGGCTTGACCTATATAGTAAAAATAAAAGTGTAAATAACTATAAAAAGCCCATTATACCAATGTTTCTGAATTTTGTTGTTGTCAGTCTTATATGCAGTGGTATATGCCTTGAGATGGATAAAGATAGTTCTTTATTATGGTATTGTTTCCTTGCTTTCTCTGAAGCTAGCTAAAATAATTCCCATTTCAGTAAAAATTGTATAGTTATATAATGTTACATAATGTTCTGCCAATATTGTGTTTTTCCAAAAGTTTCTGGAGTTATGTGTTAGAGCCCAAAGAAGAACCAAGAGCAGATGTTTTCCTGTCTATGTGAAAAGCTCACTGATGCTGTTTACTGAAGACTGAAGTTATGACTTTAGAATAGCCATACTGGATCAAGCTAGAAGTCCGTATATAATCAGTGACCTTTTCTCTATTCTATTTTGTCATCCCTCAGGGAATTACTGATACAGAGGCAAATATTGTTTAATGTGTTTATGAATGATCTGAATGTTGGGATGATGGGCCAGCATGTTCGACATGTGTGTGAACTCTTCTGAGGTGGGTTTGGGGAATGTCTGATACGCTGGAGGAGAGGGCTGCTAGACAGGGGTATAGGAAGCTGGAAAGGTGATTTGAAAGGGAGCTTGTGAAGTCCAACAAAGGTGTTAATACCAAGCCCTGCATCTAGGCCAGGACAGCACCACACAACAGTACAGGCTGGGATCAGCTGTCTACAGAGAACCTTTGCAGGGAAAGACATGGTGGTCTAGTGGGCATAGAGTTGAACTCCTGGAGTGAGCAATGATGGCCTGCTGCATTCTGGACTGTTAGTAGGCGTGTAACTGGCAGGCTGCAGAAATGATTCTTCCCTTCTGTTTGGCACTTGGGAGAGAGCAGCTGGAGTATCATGGCTAGCTCTGGGCTCCTCTGTACCAGGGAAAACCCTGGCATAGGGGAGCAGGCAATGTAAGTGGTGAGGTTGAAGGAAGCAGGTTTTGTTTTGCCTCGAGGGAGGGTGTAATGATCAGCTAAGACCTAGGTTTCACATAGGAAGCTAGGATGGTACTTCCCCATGTGTATCACTTTAATCTGCAGTGATTTTTCCTCTGGCCAGTTGCAGAGTTTACTGTGGTCTACAACTAACCACCTAACGGCCAGATATGGAGAAGACAGGAA